CCCCAGTGTCCCCAATGCCCCCAGTGTCCCCAGTGTCCCCAATGTCCCCAATGTCCCCAGTGTCCCCAGTGTCCCCAATGTCCCCGGTGTCCCCAGGGTCACTCACAGGCGGGGGGTGGCTCTCGGTGCCCTTGCTGGCCAGGCGGCTGAGGATGCTGCGCTCGGACATCTGCAGGCGGGCGGCGATGGGGGGGATGCGGGACAGCGTGGCCGGCAGGCGCGTCACGTCAGCCTTCATGTCACTCAGCAGCTCCTCCAGCTGGTTCAGCACTGCCAGCGGGGCCGGGGGGGACACAGAGAGACAAAAACAGGGGCGGGGGGCGCCCGTCAGCGCCGGGGGGCCGTCCCGCACCTACTCACAGCTTACTCACAGCTTACTCATAGGTTACTCATAGCTTACTCACAGCTTACTCATAGGTTGGTAATGGGGTGGGTGGGAGATACTCACGTGAGAGCGGGGGGTGGGGAGAGGGAGGAGCTGGGAGTTACTCAGGGGATACTCAGTGCCTACTCGGGGGGTGCATGCTCGGGGGAGGGGCTCTGAGTAGGCTGGGAGTACTCGGGGGGGCTCCTGGGTTTACTCCTGACTTACTCCAGGTGTACTCCTGACTTACTCAGGATGTACTCCTGACTTACTCAGGGTTTAGTCCTGACTTGCTCCAGGTATGCTCTGGAGTTACTCAGGGTTTACTTGTTCTGAGTGTACTCTAGGGTTACTCAGGGTTTACTCCTGACTTGCTCCGGGTGTTCCTTGCCCACACCAGAGATACTCCAACTGTGCTCTTTACTCTGAGTATCTCCTCCAGGTACTCTGGAGATACTCCAGGGTTACTCCTGCCTTACTGCAGGCCTGCACACACAGGGCTACTCCATGGCTACTCCGTGGCTACTCCGTGGCTACTCCTTGGACACACCAGAGGTGACTCTGGGTGTTCTCTGCCTTTACTCTGGGCCTGCTCAGGAGTTACTCTGGGGATACTCCAGACTTACTCCCCGTGTATTCTCCAGAGCTACTCCAGGTGTAACGACTGGAGGCACCGGGGCTACTCCGGGTTTACTCCTCAGCCACACTAAAGTTACTCCTGGGATACACCAGGGATACTCCACAGCAGAGCTGCTCAGAGCATCCTCACCCTTTACTCCAGGGTCACTCCTGCCATGGGCCCCAGGGCCTCTCATACTCCTCGCTTACTCTGGGGATACTCCTGGCTTTAAACACTCCGGGGATACTCCAGGTTTTAAACACTCTGGGGATACTCCTTGCTTACTCTGGGGATACTCCAGGTTTACTCAGCTCATCCCCCCCGAGTCCTCTGGGCTTTACTCATTAACTACACCAGAGATACTCTGGGCTGACACTGGGGCACTCCAGCACTACTCCAGCCTTACTCCAGCCTTACTCCAGCCTTACTCCCAGCATGCACCGCACGGATACTCCGGGGATACTCCTCAAAAACAACCCCCGGGTGAGCAGGGAGGGAAGGGGAAGGAGGGAGAGGGAAGATCAAGACGTAAACTACTCCAGAGTTACACACAGGACGGCACTAGGGACACACTCCAGCTTTACACCACATCTACTCAGCAGAACCCCCCCACCCCCGCCCCGCCCCGCCGAGCGCCAAGCCACAACCCGCAAACCCCTTCAGCGCGCTCCCAGCTTACTCCCAGCTTACTCCCAGCTTACTCCCACCCGCCAGGCCCCAAATAAAAAAAAACAACACCCCCTTTTCCCAGCCCCCAGAAAGCGCACGCAGAGCAAGGATACACCGGGAGGCGGCGGTTGGGAGCAGAACCCCTCTTTAATGGTTGCAGCACGCGTACAGAGGCGCCGGGAGCTACACGGGGCGTCCGCGCCGGGCGCGCCGGCCCTGCCGCCTCTTACCCTTGTGCAGCACGGCGTTGGCCGGCTTGTTGCCCGCCAGCGACTCCTTGGACAAGTGCTGGTGGCTCTCGGCCAGGCACTCGACCTCGGCGAAGCGCGTGTTGAGGGCCATGGCGGGGTGGCTGGGGTCCTGCGTCATGTTCAGGTAGGCGGCGCGGCGCAGCTGCTCCTCGATCACCAGCGCCTGCTCCAGGAGCTGCGGGGAGCGCGGGGAAGGGGTTAG